AATTCCCAAGAAACTGTCCCAGATTTCGCACTATGGGTGGGCAATTAGGGGCCAGGCCTGCCCTGGGTGACCTCTGTGCCCCCCCATGCTGCATCGTGCCGCATACTACTTGTTACTTGGCTATTCCTTTCTTTTATGTTTATTACAGTTATACATCTACGTAGCTGGGGCTACAAGCAACATATTTAGTAGGCCTAGGTTTGATAGTGTAATCCAAAGTTCTGATTTATTGTGCCGGCCTCCAAAAATCAAATCCCCCGGACTCCAGAAAATAGTATAAATAGAACACACTTCATGGCCGTGGTGTTCGCAGCTGTCTGTGTGCACATCTGTTATGGAGTATATTCAGGCCTTTAGAGTCTCCAGCCTTGCTAGCAGCTCTGTGAAGCTGCACCTAGGCATAACAGTGCTTTGAGCTAAATGCTAACATCAGCATGTTTAGCCTGTATAATGTTTTACATTGCATGTTAGCATGCTAGCGTTTGCTGATCAGCACTAAACAAAGTATAAGTGATGCTGATGGGAATGTCATTAGTTTTGTTGGTATCTGATCATAAACAAAAGTATCGGATAGAATAGAATTTTAACCTGATAGTGGTTCTAGACTAGAGGCACAATTTTACAATTTATTGGGGAAAGATGAATGTTTGTACAAAATGTAATGGCAATCCATCAAGTAGATGTTGAGATATTTTACGGAATAAGGGCAAATTGTCCTTTTGGTGGTGCTACAGTCGGGATCATCAAAGTCACTAGGGTTCATCCTCTGGACACCATGAATATCTGTATCAAATGTAATGATAATCCATCCAATAGTTGTCAAGACAAAAAGTCAACCTCATGGTGGCGATAGCAGAAAGGTCAGGCAATCAGTAGGGTTCATCCTCTGGGGATGTCTGTACACTATCTCATTTTACTTTAGCGTGGCTTAATAAAGAAGCCACAGTCAGAGAATATTTTCTCATCCAGATTGTTAGAAGAGTCTTTGAGGGTGCAGCTCACTGTTGTTAAACAATCTACTGGGTTTTCAGTGATTGGTGTTTAATTAGTATTACATTTTTGAGAAAATTGGATGCTTAGTTCTGTGACTGGAATGGATGCACTGAACATCAAACACTGGAGATGTGAAATAAAGTAAGACCTTCGGAGGGTGGATTGCTCCTTCAAGCTAGATTATTTCTCATAGCAGCGAGCAGCCCATGTCAGCAAAAAATGGCCACCACTTATCTCAACAATTACATGTTACTAAGCAGTTGTCTGAGGTATTAAATCTTAGGGGGACAAGGATGACACGGCCGCCACATGTCAGAAACAGCAGTAATCCACAATCCCCTCTTCCTGTTCTCTTTTGAGTGATTTTTAAACCTCCCCACCCCTTCTCTTCTGCCTCTTTCCCCCTCTTTCCTCTCCTCTCCTCTCACTCTGCTTTTCTCTCCCCCCGTCCCTCCCTCAGCAGAACTACAGGGGCTTGCTTGTTGTCAAGTCAGTGTTTTTACAGCCTGGCATTAGCACAGGGCAGCATTCAGTCAGGACACTGCATTCACTTTGCCTCCCCTATAATTCACATGCTCACGTGAGATCGCGCTGCCTTCGCGACCACTCATGAAATGACCCTGATTAAGCATTGCTGGCCCTTTGACAGACCATATTAGTCTTCTTATAAAAACACTCCACAAATAAATCTTTTATACATTTTAAATGCCACATATAACACCCTTGTGTGACATTATAAAGGCTCAGATGGAGCGGGGCTGTATTGACTTTTCTTACATGACAGTCGGGGGTCGATTTGTTCGACTTTAACCAGGAAGGAAGGTGTGGATGTAAATGTTGTTTAATCTAACTCTGCCATCTAATTAGAGGGCTACATTTCATCAATTGGGCGATGCCCCTCCCAAAGTGTTTTGTTTTGCATTTGTTGTGTGTGTGCTGTACGTGTTGTTGTATTTTTCAGTGTGTGTCAATCCTGATATGTTTGCAGAGAGATGGAGCAATAAAAGAAATCGAAAAATTGAAGAAAAAATGAATCTTGGTCTAGAGGGGGCTCAGGAGTTGATGCAATCCTCTGACTCCCTCTTCTCCTCTTAGCTCCTTGAGTAAAATATACAGTATGTTGTTGGCTGACTAGTTTCCTCTGCTGTGAGAATGCGCGGTTCTCTTCTGGGAGCCCTGCTGTGACATTAGATGCATGTAGATTGATAATCGACGGGGGTAAACATAATTACATCGCCTTAGAAATTAATGAACGCATTGATCGCCCACTCTAAACATTATCAGCATATTTTTCTTTAAGCCACTGGTATCTCGAGGGAAGGGGCTGATTATATCACGGCTTCAGCGATTTGCAATATTACTGTGGCTTCCCACAGTTAGTTCCTTCAAAGATCTTGCCAATACTTGTGGGGAGGTTTTTAAACACTGATGTTGTTGGCACCTTTGAAGTGCCTTTCAGTGTCCAGATGTAAATTCATGCAAGGAGAAGTGTGATAAGCTAATGATGTCTCCGGGGACTAGAATTAATATAACCAAGGGATAAACATATCTGCATATCTGAGTGGATTTTTTCCCCCTCTCCAGCCTCCTTTAACACCGTTTGGGGCCTGAGCAGGAGCAGATGGACAGAGCCAGCTTTGATGTGCTCTGGGGTCATGTGTATCTACAGTTTTATCAAGGTACACAAACGTGCAGAGTAAATATGCCACGCCAAAACTCTGGGAAAGGCAGAGAAGGGGAAATTCCACTTTGAGATTCAAGGGAGGGTGTAGACTGAAATATTTCTCTGCATTTGTGCAACTTAGATCTAGCTTAAAATCTGCTCTGTTAAGCTTGATTTGAATTTGAATAAAGGAATTGTTTGATCTGATGCAATCAGTATGTTCAGGCTATTTTACACCTAATTCTAAGCTCAGTTATTTTGCTTGACAACTATGAACAAAATCAAATTAACATGCTGGATAATGGCTTGAGCATATTTGCCTACGGCCCTTCTATCGCCCATTTAAGTGTCTGTCATTTTATATCCATTTGCGTGCCAGAAAAGAGACATTCCATAATGCTGCACTGACCAGGAACAGAGCCCGCCACTGCAAAACATGTCCATCAAGGGGAAAATAAAAATAGGCTGTTTCCTCTAAATTCACTCAATCAATAATTCATGGCATGCACAGAAGCTTGATTTATGAAAGAATTAAATGTTGTGGACTGGGCCCTCGCAACAGCCGTCCATCTCGGGGACGTGGCAGCCAAAATTAAACATGAAAGGCAAACACGAACAACCAAATCATCTCGCCGAGAGTAGACGCTTCAGAAGACTTCAGCGGCACGTGCGCGCTGGGCCGCCTGAACGGACAAAACGACATCGGCGATTTGAGCCGGAGCAACATAATTTGTTCGTAACGTTTTCATGAGTTATGTATGTAGGAGTGGGTCACCAAAGGCCAGAAAGTGACATTAATACTATTTGGCAACCGAAGGCAGAGATGAAAGGCAAAGGTGCACCTGCTGACCTGTGGGGAACTTGTGACTGCTGAGTGCCTTTCTGACCCTGACTCTGGCTATAAACTAACAACACAGGAACATGACAGTTTTAGTATTGTTTCAGTCAAACTGAAATTTGAATTCTCGTCTCTTTTGTCAGTAATTTATACTTCCTCTGCTGTGCAAGGAAATATAAATTGTAAATGTACTGTGGCTATTGTATGTATTTTCACATTTTACAAAAGATGATAAAACTGTTTTGGACATATTTTTGGAAACAGCTTTGAAGTTTGAAACAAGTGCGTTTGTCACATATAATCATAAGTAGAATCACGCTTAAATTTAAGAAGGCAAGCCTCTGGGGGAGCATTTACCATGGCAACGAGCTAGCATTGCTAGGAGACGCGCTGTCAGCTTCTGTGTTACACTGGTGACTTTAATGACGTAGCCCTCACACACTGATATAATATGCTTTTTATGTAACTGTTGTGTATTTTTATGTCCACATAATGTTGACTCTTAGCTGTCTGTCCCTTTACAACATTCAACATTCAGGAGGAACTATTGTGTTATGAAGTATGTGTTTCACTTGTGAAGTAGAGACTAGCAAGCTAATAGACGCTAGTTAGTCTACCATTGGACACTGAAGTAGCACTATCGCAACAAATAAACATATAAAGAGCTAAATACTATAACTTAACTATAACAGTATTAAAATAAGAGTCATAAAGTTAGCAAATGAATTAGGTAATGTCGGTTATAAACTACAGCTATCTAGCCTGCTATATGTTGGCTAACATTAGCTAACATTGGTGAATGTGGATTGGGCAAGGTTTTACTGGAGTTCAACCTTTCATTTGTAAGACTGTTAACTAGTGTTATTTCCTCTTTTAAAAGTGACCTAGTCTTACTTTAATTTCACTTCAGCCTTTAAAGTTTATCTAGTCTAGAGTGTGTGTTTAAATGCCAATAATCTGAGTAAACGGGTGCAGGCAGCAGTGCACTGCTGAATCAGTGGCAGCACTAAGAAGCAATGTAGTCAGATGAAATTACTCCTGCTGTGTCTAAATGCTTCAAATTACTAGAAGAAAGTAAGTAAAGATGAGACTGTGCTTTACGCTTGAGGCTAATTACCCAGCTGTAATTAAAGAAACACCTCTCTGATAAGAACTGGGGCTGGTGGGCCTGAAACCTTATAATATTCCAGATATTCCAACAAAACTATAGCTAACAACAACAATGTACTTTTTGTGACCCCGATGATATATAGTCCCACAGCGGGGACACCGAGGGACTCCGGCCTGTAGTGATGTTTCATTGGGAATGTGACTTCAAGACGAATTCCTGGATTTCGCGGGATTAAAATGCAAATGAGCGGCTCCGGTCCTCGCGGCCGGCGGGAGTTTTGAGTGGGCCGGCCGGTACCGTGTAGGAATGAAGTATGCTCAGAGACGGACTATTCTCTGCAGTGTGAGGGCAGCGGGGAGGATCTGTGGCCTAAAGCCATCACGGAGCTGCTGGAGGAGATGCATTCTTTATTCTGAGGAGGGGAGGAGGGAGAGAGAGAGAGAGAGAGAGAGAGAGAGGGGGAGAGGTGAGCAGAGCACACACGTCGCACTATCAACTGAATCCATCCAAGAAATCAACTCGCATGGAGTCCGGCTCTGAGCTGCGTACACACTGAAGCCAAGTTTGCGCTCCTCCACTGAAACAGCGCACCGGACGGACGCAGCTGGCCGTCATGGCCCGTGGCGGATCAGGCGGCGGACACTTCGGCGAGTGCGTCTTCGTTCGGGCAGAGTGTGGAAGGGGAGAAGTGGGCTCTGCGATCACCCTGCCGCCGCTTTCTTCGGTCCTCATGCGCTGCACACGGTGTTGAGTTGAAGCGGAGGAGCTCCGTTGTGAAGCGCCCGGGAGCAGGGAAACTAAAAAAAAAAGAAAAAAGTGGTGGTGGTGGTAGACAGCGGTGCGGACAGGACGCGCAGCCACAACCGAGGGGGACCCTTGCGGGGAAATATGCTGTTCCGTAGACTCACCGGGCTCACGCTGCTGATCGGAACCGGCTCGCACCAGCTTTACCGAACGGACCTTTACGCACGGGCGTACGGCAGGACCGCATGAAGGACAGAGGCTCAGAGAAAGGGGAAAAGTTGAACGCGGTAGCGTAATGGATAAAGGCTCGCCAAAGGTACAGTGGCTGTTTCTCAATAACCCAGGACGCAGTTGGAGACATGTAGAGGGAGAATGACAGGCCTAAGTTGGATATCAATCGGCCACTTTTCAAATTAAATTCCTAATAAAATGTAGGCTATAATGAGGGAATCATATCTTACCAAGCCCACATTAAAAGCACACATATGTTTCCACCTCTGTAACTTAGAGCCCCGAGCAACCTGCACGCAGGGATCACCATCAACTGGCGCTAATTCACCAATTCCCAGTGACTTTTTATGATGAATTAAAGCCGTTGGCCAGTTTATCTGTAGCTTAATTAGATGGTTCATCGAGTTACAGATTACTGCACTACAAAGCGCACAGCTCCACATTTTTCACCCCGGGAGAAAACCTGACTTTTTTTTTTTTTTTTCATTTTTGGGGGGGGGGGGGGGCTTTCACTCTCAATGCACTGCACGGTTTTCAATTCCCCCTTTGAAATGATTCATTCAAATGAACACCGCTCACTGGGCAGGCTTTGAAGTATACCTGATCCGCCTCTTATCGCCTCTTAAATACCCTATCCATTTTAAACTTTTAATTGCGTTTCTGTCGCTAAATCCAGTTCTAATCGGATTGTCCTGGCCACATATCACAGCGTTCATCTGGCGCTGAGAAACTGTGCTCCCTCGGCTGGAAATTAAAGAAAAAAGAAAGAGAGAAAAAAAAAAAAAAAGAAGTCTTTCCCTCACTTTCCCTCCCTGATCTATCCATGCCCACCATTTATCAGGTTCGGGGTTGTCAAGAGAGGACCAACTTGACACCAGGCTTCTCTTTAGGGTTATTATTTGGGTTCTTGGTGACATTTTATTTATGCAGCTATAATAATCTTGATGCTGCTGCCTTCTGCTGTTGATTCTGCTGCTGTGGCAGCACATTTTATCGCCTCATGTGGTTGCTTATACCCCCCCAAGCTTATTTGATTAAATTTAGCTCTTTCAATTTAGAAAAGTAGATCACAGATGTGTGTCAAAGGATTGTTTCTCCATCTCTGCCACAAAGAGCTAATGCAGGCTCCAGCTCGTCAACAAACAACAGGAGCAGGGCTACGGAGGCAAATGGATGGGTTTGCTTTACTTAGTATTTTTTAATTCTACTATTTTATTCCTTTCGTTACAAAATATAGCTTCCTGTCACGGCTGCTAGACGTTAAAAAAAAACAAGCTGAAATGTATTTTAAAGAATTTGCCAAAACAGCAATAATTCCGATTATTTTGTGAATTATGTTGGTACTCCTCTTTTTGACACGCTGCAGGACACCTTAATCCACGCTCATGGCCGCTCCTGTGCTTAACATTCAACCCATCGCTCCCATTATCGTGTGTCATCCAACATTGACTCAGGGTGGAGCTTCAGTTAAGCTGAGAGCTACTGATGACAACCAGTATCTTTCAATCATGTCGGGGAAGAGGGGGGAAAAATGTTTGATGGGTCGTAAAACTTGGAATAATGGATCTGGGGGTCTACTGTAATCCAATGGCCTTGTGCTTTACTACAAGCCTCTCCATGCTGAAAAATAGCCTGTATCGATCATTTATTGCAGGTGGAGGGACTAAATTATTTTCCAATCCCATTTCATTTGACAGCTCATGTATGTCACTCTAGCGAGAGGAGGAGCTGGCGTGCAGGGGCTTCTATTGCTCTGCTGCCTCCCCTTTGTTTTGTAATCCCACTCTTCCTCTCCTTAAATCTGAACTTCGATGGTGTGTTCAGGCCTTCGCTTAATAACGAGCTCCTCCTTAGGCCACCGGCAAAACAATCGCTTCTGTTTACTGTAAGCACTCGTGTGTTTACTGTGTACCTCTGCCCACAGTGTCTGCTCAAGCAGACAGAAAATGACAGTCGTAACTTGTTTTCTGCTCCTTATTTTTTTCTCAAGGAAATATTTTCTGCATCCATGTCGGCACACAAAGAGATGATGTCTTTATTAGCCTTATCTCCTTTTAGCCTGTTTTCCATTAAGCAGCACTGATGTTGCTCAGAACCTCTGTGAATCCATGAGTGTGTGTCCTTGCAGTGCTCTATTCCCTCCTTTGATAGAGCGGAAGGGATAAAAGCCTTCTTTATGTCTGTGAAACCGGATGTGCAAGAGCTGTTCTGAATATTTATCAGATGGTTTGACTCCTTTTTTAAATAGCCAGTGCATAATTTGACATCAGCAGTGAACGATATGTTTTGTGACTCTGTCTCTCTGTTTAGGAGAGAGGGAAAGAGTGAGAGGGAAGGAAAGACAGTTGGTGTGTGTGTGTGTGTGTGTGTGTGTGTGTGTGCATGTTTGTATGTTAAATAAAGAGACAGAGGAAGAGAGGGAAAAGAGAGGCCTCTTTTTCTGAGAACAGGCCACCCCTAAATATACTAATCCAGCATTTCTTTGTTTTCCCACAGGTCTCTGGATCCAAATGTCACCCCCCTTGGACTCTGCCCTGGTCGGGGACCAGCAGTGTGTGACGGACAGGCGAGTGGAGCCTGTGGCGGCTCTCTACTCCGTGGCTTCAAATTGCCCCTGGCTGAGCTCTGCATGGAGCAACGAGTGAAGAGTCCTGCTATGGTCTGATGTCTCAGCATGGATGGAGTCAGTCAGAGGACCGGCCACCACTAATGAGACCATCGCTCTTCAGCTGAGGACTAGCATTTACAGGATTACTCCCACGGTTTCCTGCTCTTTTGCCAGCTAACTGCATCATTACCAAACTCTCCTAGATGGACCTTTGGTGGGTCTGTTTTTTTGGTGGATATATACGTCATTGCCTTTCTGATTTTCAGTTTTAGTTTTATTCCCTCCCACTTCTTTTTTATTGTTGGTTTCCCTTTTCTGTTTTGTTTTTCCACTATGGAGTTTCTTGCTGGACCCTGGAATAAAGATTGGGCTTCATTCTTGCAATTTTGGTTGACTGTCATCCTAAGCCTCCAAATGCAATTCAGCCCGGGTGCCTCTTGCCCGGAGGAGTGTCGTTGTGACAACCAGTTTGTGTACTGCAATGAACGCAGCCTGACATCAGTGCCTCTGGGGATGAAGGAGGGCTACAAGGTCCTCTACCTACATAACAACCAGATAAACAATGCTGGCTTCCCTATGGAACTTCACAATCTGGCTTCCGTGGAGACTGTGTATCTCTACGGCAACCAGCTGGACGAGTTCCCCGTCAATCTGCCCAAAAACACCAGAGTCCTGCATCTCCAGGAGAACAATATCCAAACCATCTCCAAGGCAGCCCTGGCCCAGCTGACTCGACTAGAAGAGCTACACCTTGATGATAACTCCATCTCCACAGTGGGGGTGGAAGAAGGGGCCTTTAGGGAGGCAGTAAGCCTCAAACTCCTCTTCCTCACCAAGAACCACTTAAGCAGCGTTCCCATTGGCCTTCCTGAGGACCTAAAAGAGCTGCGGTTGGACGAAAACCGCATTGCTGTTATTGCAGAGGAGGCCTTTCAGAATGTGACACGGCTGCAGCGCCTCCTGCTGGACGGGAACCTGCTAACGGATGAGGGCATTGCACCAGGGACCTTCCAGGACCTGGTCAACCTCCGTGAGCTGGCTCTGGCCCGCAATTCACTCACCTTCCCCCCTCCCCTCCTACCCAGCCAGTCACTGGTCAAACTCAGCCTGCAGGAGAACCAGATTAACCAGATCCCTGTGGCAGCCTTCGCTGCCTTAAATAGGCTGGAAAAACTGGATATTTCCAGTAACCAGCTTCAGACTCTTACACAGGGTGTATTCGATGGCCTGTCAAGCCTAAGGCATCTCATGGTGCGAAATAACCCCTGGCGTTGTGACTGTGCTGTGAAGTGGGTGGTGGTGTGGCTCAAGTCTTTGCCTTCCACCATCAACGCCAGAGGGTTCGTGTGCCTGAGTCCAGAAAAGGTGCGTGGCATGGCAATCAGAGAACTCACGCTGGATATTATAGAGTGCCCGGTTGATGGTGACCTGCCGCCCTGGCCCACCCTCCGCTCCACACCCCCTCCCCCACCCACAACCACCCCTGTCACCACCATGATCTCCACCCTCATCACCACATCCATCCCTTACTACTTTGACTCACCCTCCCCTCCCTTACCCCCGATCCATAACAACCCTCCTGGGCCCCTGCCTCCTTACGAGGACCCCCTTCAGATCTCCTTCCACGTGGTCAACTCCACCAATATCGAGGTGAGCTGGGCGTCCTATTTCACCGTCACAGCCTACAAGGTCACGTGGGTCAAAAGGGGCCAAAGCCAAATAAACGAAGGAATGCGGGAGAGGACTGTGAGCGGGGACCGGCGGCATATTAGCCTGACAAACCTGGAGCCCCGGTCTGTGTATCGGATCTGCGTGCACGTGCTGGACACCCTTAACTCCTACAGACCCGGAGAGGATACTATATGCTCTGAGGCCAGGACCAAGGCTGCCGTGACCACTAAACCTCCTGGTAGAGAGCAAGCTCCTCAGGAGAGCATCAACTCCACGCTGCTAATGGCTGGGATCATAGGTGGGGCGGTGCTTATCATCCTGGTAACGCTGCTCAGCCTGTTCTGCTGGCACATGCACAGGAAGAGCCGGTCATCTTCGACCAAGTGGAAATACAACCGGGGCAGGAGAAAAGACGACTACTGTGAGGCTGGAACCAAGAAGGATAACTCCATTCTGGAGATGACTGAGACCAGTTTTCAGATAGTGGCGCTGAACAATGAGCAGCTGCTCAAGGGAGATTTCCGTATCCAGCCCATCTACACGCCCAACGGGGGCATTGGATTTAGAGACTGTCACCTCAGTAACAACAGCATAGCCTACTGCAAGAGCAGTAACGTGCCCAGTACAGAGTTCTGCCACACGTGATGCAGCAGCGAATAGTACAGAGGCATTCACACACACATACACACACACCAGAAACACTACCAATACATGCATACACACACACACACACACACACATACATACATCATTTGTGTAGACAACAAAAAACATAAAAATTCTAGTCAAATATAACTGTACTATATATATTTCCAAGTTCTGTCTACGATGTAATTTATACTGTGGATAATAATGTGGGATTCTCTGCTATCTTTTTTATTCTTAGAAAAAGAGATACAAGTGTTTCTTTTTTTATAACCAGCAGGGTTTTGAAAGTTGTTTTAATGGTCAGTACTGTACATGAACATGGATTTGTACAATCACGGCACCCTGGGTGTAGCTTCTGACGAACGCTGTCAGCCTTGGAAATGTAAGGGCACTTAGAGGGCTGGGATCCTTTGCTAACCACAGAAGCAAAATATGGCCTTTTTTGCGTTTTGAAACACTGCAAACGCTCCCCAGTACAAAAGAACAGTAGTAAAGACAACACAGCACAGGGGAAGTCCGAACACTGCTGATTAGAGCGCTGTGGAAATATAGCACTGGTTCACTGGTGGCATGTTGTAAAAAGGAACTGAAGTGCACTTTCTTATTAATGGAAGCAAGGCAGGAAATGAGCAGAGGTGGTGATCAGGATGGTGGATGGTTGTGTGAGGAGAATGTCATCGAGCCTGTGGAAAAGCCTGGACTGAGATTTCCCAAAAGTGCCTTAACATTAAAAGCATCTTTGTTCTATTGGTTTACAGTGGAACAAAGGTGGGCTTAGACACTTTTTGGAAAACTCTAAAAAAAAAGGATGTAATTTTTAGCACCCTGAAATTTGTTTTTTTTAGGGAGGAGGTGCAATTATTAACATGAGTTCTAAAAAGCAACAAAGGATTATTGACCCTAATGAGGTCCATAGATGTGCTGAGACTTGCAGATCCTTTTGAAGAAATTCCCTAATTTGTACTGCTTCGGTTTTTTTCCATGTTTTGGCAACTGAGGCCACAAGGGGGCAGTTTCCCTCAGCGTCGTGTGTGGGATGGAGGAACAGAGGGCAAGACAGACAGAGAGGGAGAAAGAAAGAAAGAAAAAAAAGCTGAATAGATCACTTTACCTCCACCATTCCCCTGGAGTCCATTACCCAGACGACATTACTCATGCTCAAACAGCATTGTTTAGAGTATTATTGCTCATCGAGCTACTTAATGATGTGGAATCATTTAAAACTAACAGTGTTTTCTGTGTTTCATGGCTAAATGATATGGATTTTCACCACTGTGGACTATCATGAGGGAGAAGGCCTCTGAGTGTGTGTGTGTGTGTGTGCGTGGAGAGCGGGATGAATTTTCAGAAAGCACACACATAACGCTAATTATACATCCACTTATTTCAACCTCGTCCCAGCGTTCATTAGGCTTTTTAATAAATTAGGAAATTACAACAATAAGATCGCGCTCCGCCCATGATCCTCACAATGAACGGTTGTGACTGATCAGCTCATCGGGCGGCTCATCATTTATCCTTTTGTGTACATTTACGACACTGTCTCCTTCATTTATGGGTCGCTCACGTGAACAATGCACCTGCTCACTCCACAACATTAGTTTCGGCAGTGATGATCCTCACCCCATCTACCCTCATTTTCTGTCTCACTGTCTCCCTGACTGTCTGTCTCGGATCCCTGCATGGGCTCAATTAAAACGGTTTTCCTGCCCTTCAGCTCCCGGGCCGTGGTGGCAGCTCTTTGCATGTGAGGTGCCGGTGAGAGGTCTTCATTATGCACTCCTTAAGAAGACTTGATTTGATTTGACAAGATTTTATTTTGAGGGGCCAAGCTTAAAGAAATTCCCACAGCCGACCCCTCTGCCGCCCTCACCCCCTTCTCCCCCCTCCCACCCCTCTCCTCATAATCCTCGCCCAAAAAAGGGAGAAAAGTATGTAGACCTTATTTTCACTTGGCTGCGTGGAGCTCACGCTGGGAGAAAGTGTGTTAACTCTTTGTGAGGCGCGCAGATAGAGCTGCTCCAACGCGCACGGCAGAGAATCAACAGCTAAAATGATTTTTAAGGGCTTGCACTCAAGTTACACCAGAGGTCCGAGATTATCTCCGATTGGATTCGCCTCTGCAGTTGGGATATCTCGAAGTAGCTGCACTTACGTAAATTCCAGCAATAGCTCAGATCACAATCACATATGTGAGTACTTCAGTTTAAGGTGATGCACATATTTCCACCACCACCGAGACAATGCTGTGAGAACTGACAAACACAGTGACTGAATGAAATCTGTCATTTAGTGCCATATTATGTCTTCAAATCATATTTTTGATAAGACAGCTGACGTGTTTTTTCCAGTACAAGATGTTTTTTTGGAGTTTCATTTGACAGTATTTAAGTTTATCTTGAAAAGACAAAATCTCTATTATTAACATTTAAAGCAATAATTGGACATTATTTGGAGATAGTTAAACAAGATAGTAATTTGCAAACTTTAGAGTAGGCAGTCAACCTTAGACGGAGCCAGGCACGCTGTTTTCCCCTGCCTTCTGCCGTCTTTATGCTAAGCTAAGCTAACTGGCCGCTTACCACACAGACACTAGAGGGGTCTCATTCTTCTCATCTTGGAAAAAAAAGTGAATCAGCGCCAAATGTTGAACTATTCCTTTAAGCGAAACGTTTAGTGAAATAAGTTTTGCATTGCAACAAAATTCATGATTGTAGTGATCTCATTTCCCTGGCAGATGAATTACATTTATTTTATCAAAATTTTAGGGCTCAGATCTTCTTTTCATCTTGGGTTTAGTAACACGAAGATCTTCTGTGGTTATCAAAGCATCTCCACTTTTTATTTGAACCTTTTTCTACTAATATCCACAGCGGACCATAAACACTTGAACATTTACATCAGATATCGTTTATTCTTTGATATAGATGAAAGCCCTACTTTAAGTCACGTGCTGATCAAGCGAGGGCCGGGGTCAAACTGTTGCAACATATAGTATCTCCTCTGTCTGTGAATGTGTAACGGAGACAGATATTTGCCTTACCTTTTATGCAGGACTGAATGATTAGCTAGAGTGAGAGAGTTTAGTGGGATGAAGAAAAGGAGAGAAGACGAGACATTAAAAGACGGCAATGAGAATGCTGAACAGAAAGCACATTTCTCCCAACAAATTGAAGCCACGGCGGCAACAATAACAGTATTAACAGGAAGAGCAGCGCTAAGCGTGACACACAGTAGCTAACGAGAGACTGTTCATCCATAGTGCCAGACCTTAAGCGGTGCATGGCTAATGATTCAACTAGACGGGGGAAGGAGCTTTGGTGGCTGTTTTGCAGCGTACATTACTCTTAATTTTCTACTTGCTTGATAAAAGAACGCGGCTGCAGTGCCGTGACCAATGGAATTACACAAAACGTATTACAGACTGCTTGCGTGGGATTATTACTGTTTCAGGGTGCAGAGAAGTAATTTCCCTTAGAGCCCATTGAATCACGTCCAAATAATTATGTTTAATCTCTTGAGAGGTTAATTCAGACAAAACATGAGTGTCTGAAACATGTTTAAAGTCATCTTTTCTTCCTGTAGGCAAAACCTTCACTGCAAATATCTATTAGCCAGTAACTTTCATTCAAGGATTTTTGCATGTACTGTATTTAGCTTCATAGCCTTTCATTTGTGTCATACCGGGTCTTGGACTTTCTAGTATTTTTTCAAGCAATCACCCAGTGGTGGTTGAGGTACAGTGTGAGCAAGCATACGGAAAGGTTTCGCAGAAAGGCTGGAAATTTACAGTGCATGTAAAATGGCTATGTTGGGATATCGCCATCCTGGCTTCTCATCGAGACGCTGCAGTGTTACGTTAGCCACCCACACCAAGTTTTCTTAGGAACCAAAGTTAAATTTCTGTTCTCATGATGAAATATTGATGTTGTTCCATGTATGTGCCTTGAGGTTGAACTTACAATGTAAAGTCCTTGAAACCTTTAAATGTTTTTGCACAAACTGTAAATACTTAAGTGAAGCTTTTTGAAAATAAAAGAGCCATTGGATTTGAGCGATCACTCCTTTTATTTTAGAGAGCTGTTATCTAAATGAAAGTTTATTTTCTGTTGTGCTTCAATGAGTGATCCTGCATTCTCTGTTTCTTACACATTAGTTAGTGTGCTGGCAAAAGCTGTCAAGTTAACTTAGGAGAGAGTTTGCACAGAAACACGGGCCTAGCTAAATCTATTTTGGGTCAGACACTAGCAATTCTGGGTCAAAGATTTGTGCTGTACACACCATGCCAAGTTATCCTCTTATTTCTATACGGGAAGCCTGAGACATCTTAGCGTAGCCACCGCAGCTTAGCGTTCAGCTGGGGAAAATCCAGGATACTCTCTCATTCTACTTGTATGGCACAACTAAATCCCAGAATGGGCTCTTTCTCCAAATCCCTGTGTTCTACCAAAGTCCAACTTTTTTCCTCTCTGTCACCACATCCCAGTGTTGCCTATGTAACCTCCAGCCCGCTAAAGAACCCACATTAGCCCAATCTTAATTCACTATGACAATTAACCACATGCATTCTGCTGAAACACAAGGGTGTGCCACTTTGGTATTTTGAGCGGGAAATTGGTATTTTTCTCAAAATCCCCAAATGTCAAAATGTGATTTGTTATTGCAGAATTGTAGGCTTTTTGGGGAGGCCAAGTGGATGAGGTTTTGGCACTAAAATCATCTACTTTGCTATTCTCGCCTCCTTGTGTGTTGTGTAGCAAGTACCATGAAAGATTCAGAGCGTGTGATCTCACCCATCTGCATTCGCCAGGATTGGGTTGCAAGTCCATCACTGAGTGTGTGCATAGGGTTCTTCCAAGCTAGTAAGCTTTTACCAGCTAGTGTCAAACTAGGGATGGCCCAAATCAGGTTGCACCATTAAAAGTTAGTCTTATCAGTCGCTAGAAAACATCTGCAAAACTGTTGATTAAAATCTAAACAGAGTGTGATTGTGTATGAAGCTTCACAAGCTGAAGCATAACTTCCAAAAAATACAGAATTACAGTTTTAGGGGACAAATGATGGTCACTTGACTGCCAGTCCTTTAAATGTAGGTATGACTTTTTTTTATCTCCAAAAGCATACATGGTATTCACGCAGTTTTGAGGATGAGTGTGAAATATTTGATTATGCTAACCTAGCTTCAATTATTGGCTTGTTGTGTTGTTTTTGTGAAATGTAATTTTGAATCTCCCCAGAATGCATCATAATCAAACAACATTTTAATACGTGTCAGGTCAGATGTGTTGACCATATTACAAATGACCATCATATTATTAGTATATTAGCATGCTAACATTAGTTTTGTCAGTTAATTCAGTTTAACTGCACAGCAGTTCCATCTGGCAGTAAATACATATAGTAACAGCAAATGGTGGAAAGTAATTAAGCACCAGGTATTAAACTTCTGTACAAATCTGAGGTAGCCTACTTGCACTATACTTGATTACTTAATTTTCTTTTAAAGCAACTTTATTGCTGAAGCAGTGATCAGTTGTCACTTTACAAATTAAAATGTGTAAGATGAACTTGTAGGGTGAAGATTAAACTAGCCTGCAGTAAAAAGCTGTTAAAACTATTTCCACCTCCACCAACTACAATAGTAAAATGCTACTTATACATTCTTGTAGCAGTAAGAACAATACAATATATAATAGTAAAACTCACAGGCTGCTTTATGAGTACTTTTACTTTTGAACTTTAAGTACAGTTAGCTCCATACATTTTACTTATGGAACCTTTTCAGTGCAGGACTGTTACTTGGATCGAAACATGTCCTTCACCAATGGTAAAAGCTTATCTCTATGTGAGAACTAGTTTGTGTGGTGCAACCTGTTTTTGTGTAAATCTTCACTGAGTAAGCTTGAACTCCAGGCCACTAAGTTAATTGTCATAACACTGAAAAACTGAATAATAGCAGTGTTTGCCAGCACCATTTTTGTCCTAACACACAATGTTGTGATTAATTTAAAAGAAAGTGGTTGTGTTCGTCACAATCCATATGGCAGGAACTAATGAAATGTGGATTTTTGCCTTTGAATTGTTCACTGAACAGGTGTTAGCTCTGAGTAGCTGTTTTTTAATCTTTCCCTGCCAAAAGAACATTCAATTTTCTGCTTACAAGCTCTCTAACAGCTTCACTTTGTGATCCTCATTTAAGCATCTTCTAATCAGCCTCAATATGGAGGAAAAGTCATTAAAGGATGCAATTTAAAGCACTCTTATTCCAGGTATTACAAACATCGACATCTGGTAGAGTTAACATTGAACTGGCAGGTTTAAAGCTGTGCTCTGTTGTTATTCCCATCCTCCATTGCCCTGAGTAGCCTTTAATTAAAGACTGAATGCAGGTGAGGCCTTTGCTTCTTTCAACGTACTTCAAGCTAATGTGTGTCAGGATGGGTCACTGGATTTCTGCCCATTTGCTGCCAAAAGTGAATGTCATGAACATTAAGTAAAAGGCAGGCTAAATCAATTTAGGATCATCTTTCTGTGCTTTGAAATTATATGAAAAAACTAAATGAATGGAAAATTGGTCAAAACTGAGACTGCATGGTTTGCATTTGGTCCTGTGGCGAAGGAGCCTCGCCAGATCTGTTTAGTCTCTTCTTGAGCCCTGCTGTTTCCTGAAGGTGCTTACTTTATTTGATGTTAGTCATTAAAATTTGATGTTGCGAGTTGAAAGAGACCAAATCACAGCACCGACTCTATAGGATATCTTCGGACATTTAAACATTGAACACAGAGGGATATTTTAAGCAGTCGTCAATCAGGGGGCTGTTTTGAGATGCAAACCTAATTTCTCCTTCCAGTTTTTAGATGAGTGAGCTGAAGATTGCCATGTGAGAGTAGAATGCAAACAGAATTATTGCCAGTTTTTTTCTGTTTCATCAGCAAAGAAAATGTGCTTTGTGCCATCGAGATAAGCAAGATATTTTCTGTACCAAAATGAATGCAATGAATACTGCCTGCAGAGTCTTTATAGTCTGCAAGGAGACTTGTTGTCAAAACCAGAAAACCACAGCACTTTCTTAAACAAATGTACACAAAATGTGCGTTTTTGTATTTCTCTTTTACACCTAAGTGACGTGCCAGCTGCACACAGTCCTAATTGGTGACAAAATGATTTTTACTCCGAAACTGCCTGAAATCCTCTCAGGCCTGGAAGGCATTTGCAGGTGTTGACACAATGAAAGCAACCTCTGCTGTATACAATATGATGCAACCCACTAACAGAGTCCTGCAACAAATACCCTTGTGAAGCTGGCAATTGTCAGTTTGTGTTGACACTATATCCTACGGGCATTGATTCAACTATCTGGTCATTTTCAAGGCTGTAGTTTTTTGCTTTATTAGATTACATCATAAAGTGTACCTAAAATGTAGGCCTGGTGCACCTTTTAATAAAAATGCAACTCGTATTGAGTGTGTGTGTCTTAAGGAGACTGTGAAGGTACATACATGTATCTTTCTGCCAACACATGGTCAGGATTTGTGTTTTAAGACGCGAATGTGTGAGTGAAGCTGCAGACATTGTGTTACACTCACACTCCACTCCCTGCAGTGTATGACAGACTGAGGAACAGACTGTGAGGAGGTGAGATAGTAGCAAGTTAGCTTAAGTGAAAAGAGTGATGCCATAATGTAAAAACACTCCAGTCCAGCATTCAAAATCTTACTTAAGTTAAAAAAACATGAGCTAAATGTACTAAAAAATGCCCATGTTATATCATTATCTAGTGTTGGATTGTTAATATTGATTGTAGTTGGCTGAGGTGGAGCTAATTTGAACTATATTGTTGGATAGTCACTATAACAATGCATCATGTTTTACAGGCTTGTGTTTTGTATTGTATTGTAGATTGTAGTATAAATTAGCATTATATGTAAACACTCACAGTAGAAGTGCTTCAAAGTTGCACTTTTAAATCTACGATTAGTGATTTTTCTGGCAACTTGGGGGCAGCAACACAACCCTGACATCGCCTTTTAAGTCGATGACGAACTTGCTAGCTAACAGTTACTGAACATTATGATTCATTTGGAGTCGTATTTGTGTCCATCTGATGAAGTCTAATATTCTCTCCATTTTAGCTCTGTTTTTGTCTCTGAAATGGCACTTTAGCTTCTAAATAGCAAGCCACTAACTGTCTGTCTGCTGTTTGGTGCAGAGCAGGTGGTGTACAATTGGTCTTAAGAGCTGAAAGACAACACTATGAGGGAGGTGAGAGTGAACCAAAACAGTAAAGTTGTGGATCGGACAGCTAAACAAGAAGCTGAAAGTCACTATGAAGCCAGGGGTGTGTCCAGACTTTTCCGACTAGGGTGGAACAAGAGGGGCACTGACTTTATCACTCTAACTTTTAAAATGGAGCCCACTACAGCCTCTGAAAGACAATGCAAAGTGGAAGAGGTAAAGATAATAGGGTGGCAGTTCGGATGACCAATCAGATTTCAGGGGTGGCCAGTGCCACCCCAAGCCCCCCCTCTGGACACACCCCTGTATGAAGCTACATAAAACTGTCAAAATATCAGTTATAGCTGCTTAAATACAGTGTTTAATTAAATGTACAGTGTTAGCTTGAAGTATACAAAAAAAACTGGTTCTGGTTTACAGTGCAGTTGTTCCCTTAAAGCTACTGCTCTAAACGCACGTCCATATGGTCAGCTTTATATATGCATTTTCAATTGCATTGTCTCTTTATAAATGTCCCTGCTGCTGCATTATACGTCAGAGATACCCAGAGAGCTCACCGAGCAGATCATTACAAAGTGCAGTCATATAATGCACCTATTTTTCGTCAGCATGATAATGCCCAATTTCCCTCATCTATTTTTAAAAAGCCTCCTAAATAGGTCTTAATTATCTGCATCCATAACAGAAGCTCTGTGGCTGAGCAGATTCAATTCATTAGTCGCATGAAATATCAAGTTGTCCTAGCACTTTCACTTGTTTCTCAAGTTAACAATGTATGTCTTCACTGTCTACGGCGTACTTTTCTCTGGTAT